ACGGCGATCTATTTTTCCATAAAGACCTTTTTCAATTATGCATTAATAATTCTTATACAGCTGCTTTATGTTGCAAATTGAACATCGAGTACTTTCTAAACATTCAATACACAGATGACAACAAGCAAGATGATCACAGGGTATGAAAACATATGTGCGCTCGTTAGCAAGACACACCGTAGAAGTGTCTATAGAAGATACTTCTTTTGAAGTATTTTGATTATCCTTGAGATTCCAATTCACAGCGTAGTATGGAAGCTCTTCTGTAGAAGCGCTATTGTCAATTAAAGGCAAATATTCATTTTTGGACACTTCATAAATGGATTTGTCATCTGTAAAGAAAATAATGAAAATATATATAGAAATTCACTGAATTGTCTTATTTTCCTTTCATTCTGCTACATTAGTATTTTATAGTTTAATTACCTTTAGCAATTAAATTATTTTCTTATCATTTTTTTTTGGTTTCTTTGTTTCTTTGATAATTTATTTGTTTTAGTAACTTTTTTGTTTGATGTTTCATCTATCTTATGTAGTACCACGTATAAGTTTGGTAATTTTGGAAAATTATTATTTTGCTCCAGTGCAGTTTTATGTTCTCTATTTAAATTTTCTGTTAAGAAATAGAAATATGTTAATAATTTTAATTTGTACATAATATAAGAACATTATAGTACAATAAAAAAGTTAACTTTAAAATATCTTTTTTAAAATTAATCAATTAGTACAATAAAACATTTAATTTACTTAAAAATATCTTTTTTAAAATTAATCAATACATTTTATAAAATATAAAAATAAATTGATTTTATGATTTCTAAATCTAAATTTTGATAAATATACAGGGTGTCCCAAAACTACCGTATATTCTCTTAACAGTGGATTTTTTTGGAATATTCTAAGACGAAAATCTTAATATTAAAATATTGTGGCTATAATAGTTTTTAAATAATTTGCAATTAAAGTTTACAAATCGTAGAACTGATATTTTGCACGTTCAGGCACAGTGTTATGACAAATGATAAAAGTGATACCACGAACAATGTCAAGATCCTTGAACATCAAGATTTTTTTACAAATATGTAATATTTTTATTAAGAAGTTATTTCTGCTTCTATTCGGAACATCTATTTGTACATTACATACGTATAATTAATATTGGATCACATTATAAAATATTAATTCAAGCTATAGATATTACGATAAGTGTCAAAATAAATTTAAACTATGTTCACATTTGTCATAACACCATGCCTAAGTGCGCGAAATGTCAGGTGTATGATTCGTTAACTTTAATCGTGAATAATCTAAAAACTACTTAGCCTCAACATTTTCGTATTAGGATTTTCGTTTTAGAATATTCCATAGAACCTACTGTTATAAAGGACATTCTGTGCTTTTGGAACACCCTGTATATGAGAACATAAATAAAGAAAATAAGGTTACACATTTTCATAAAAAAAGAGAGGATAATATTGATATTAACGAAAACCCCTAGGCCACAAAATTCAAAATTCTGCATGTTAGTGACACCGTGTAAGTAATAATCTGTCAGTTAGCGGAACCTTTTTGACATATGCGCGCACAAATATAAAATAATCAAACCTTTTTGATATATGCATGCTCGTATGTAAAATAAAAAATATTTTATAAAATATCTTATAAAAGATTAAATACATTGCGGCATTTAATAAAAAAAATTAAATTAAATTAAATTATAATAAGTTAATTTGTAACGTTGCGTATATAAAAGCTAATAATAAAATACTGTTGCTCAATAATTATTACTTTTGTACAAGAAATTACTAAACAAAAATAATTAATCAGTAGCTAATGTTTTACTATAAGAGTATTGTTCATGTAACATTGTACATATTACATATGTAACATTATATAATATTAAATTTTATCCCCTTTTTTCTGAAAAATATGTGTAACCAAAAATGACAATTAAATAATAAATTTAAATGTAAAAGAATAAAAATGTATTATAAAATTTTTCATAATATGTAGACTAAATTGTAAAAATAATAATAATGTAATAATGTAATAGTTATGTAATATTAGCTGTGTTCAGCGGAGAAAGTAGATCAATGAGTAATTAGTTATTCTTTATTATGATTGGTTTCTGCATTTAAATTTAGCAAAGATCTAAAGGCAAGAATGAATTATATTAACAAATTACTAAGCACTCACTAATCTGCCTTTTCTACTAAACACAGACATTAAGATTTGCATGATTACCCTTATCAGTATTTAATAAGTCCCATTTTCTTTTGCAGCACTTTGCATGTGAAGTATTCGTCTCTTTAAGATTTAATTCTTGTAAGGGCGTTTGCCGTTTTATATTAATTTTTGCTTCATTTTCTGTATTGCATAATGTGTTTGAATTTGTTTCAGGATGCACATAATTATATCTTTGATCAAATATTGGATTATTATTATTTCCTGTAAAAATGCAATTTATATTAATATCTAATAAAAAATATATATTCGTGAAATGTGTTGTTTAAAATGTTAATTTAATTTTTAATATAGATATTTAATATTTTTTAATGATATTATATCTCTGCAAGATATTTTTAATGATATAACATCTTTGAAATTTCTGTGTATACAGGATGTTTCTTAAAGACTGCCCACTAATAGCTTTATTTCTTATCTAAAATTAAGTCAAAAAGTCCTAAATTATTTATAATGCTTATTGTTTAATAAAGCAGTAATTATTAAATAAAGTTAATACAATCAGCATCGTTCTTTAAACATACACGTGTCAGTGAACCACACACTTGGTAGTGTATGTAAGCGTTTTGTTGCTAAATTCGCTACACATACTATTAAACGCGTACATCAGAGAGAGAAGAAAGAAGGCGGCGAGAGTAATGAGGGAAGTCTGGGGGATAGGGAAAAGAATGTGGAGAAAGGATTGGAAAAGAAGGATCTGGCTATTCGACACTTTGATATGAACTGTGATGGGATACGGGGCGGAAGTATGGGGTTGGAAGGAAAGAATGGAGGTAGAAAGTATACATGAAAGATATCTCAGATGGATATTTGGACTAAATTGGAGGACGCCTGGTTATATGGTGAGAGATGAAGTGGAGAGAGAGAAGATGAGAGGCAGAGCAAGTAAGAGAGCATGGAAATTCAAAAAGAAACTGGAGGAGGGCAAGGGAGGGGGAATAGCGAGGAAATGTCTGGAAGAGATGAAGGAGAGATGGAAGAAGGGGAAGATAATAGGAAAATGGGAGCAGGAAAGAAAGAGCTATCTAGAAAAATTAGGGGTGAGAGTTGAAGAGGAGGAAGAATTGGAAGTTGAAAGTTTAGAGAGTAGAGAAAAATTGAAACAAAAGCAAGAAAAGAGAGAGGAGATCGCAGACTCGAGTTACAACCGGTGGTATAAGTTTATAAGGAAGGAAGGGATCCCGGAATACTTAGAGAAAGACTGGGAGGAAACAAGGTGGAGTAGGATTGCAAGATTTAGACTAGGTAATGAAATTAGGGAAGGGCTATATTGGGAAAAGGAAGAGAATAGAAGGTGTAGGATGTGTGGGAGGAAAGAGGAAACATGGGAACACATATGGGAAGAGTGTACGAGATGGGAGAAGTGGGATGGAGAGGTGTGGCAGGAGGTAGTGGGGAGGTTACTGGAAGAGAAGGGAGAGGGAGAGGAATGGATGAAAGCGATAGAGGAAATGAGAGAGAGGGAGGAGAATGGAAGTGGTGGATGAGAGAATGGTATAAATGGAAGAATGCAAAGGAAACGGAGGTCCAACCTTAGAGATAAGTTAGAGATAAGCTAGATAATAAGCGTAAACATAAGGCGAGCGATGGGCGAACGAGCGAGAAGGACGAGGGAGCGAGTAGAAGAAAAAAGAATAAGGACACGGTGTACAAAACGTGTATGTGTGTACAGGCAAAAGTAGATTAAGTAGGTTTTGTAATATATTTGTACAAGGTTGGGTACGTCCTTTCAAAACGCCAATGTGATATGATGGAAGATGCCGGAAAAGATGGTGTAAAACTGTACAGGGTTGGGTACGTCCCTACAAAACGCCCTTTTAGACCTTGGGGTAATAAAGTATCCATTATCCACTATTAAACGCGTAGCTCACTGATATATGTTCATCTAAAGAATGATGCTGATTGGATTAACTGAATTTAATAATTATTGATAATTTATTGCACACGGAAACGTAAACTATACCGAACGTGATCTGATGTGTTCGTTTTAGTTGCACTGCACTAGTGTCATAAATTAAAGTGAGACAAGTATATTTTTTTTTACTCTAACTTATTACACTAGTTCAGTAGTGCAACTAAAACAAAAACAGACCTGAGATCACGGCTTTTATGAGATTAAATGGTCGCGACAGACTTTTGCATAACGCATAATACATAACGCATAAGGAAATCAACCAGAGTTTTTTATTTCCACCCTGGAGAGATAAATGAAGGACTTGGATTGGTTGATTTCCTTATGCATTATGTATTATGCACTGTGCAAAAGTTTGTGTCGCGGTCTTAACTGAACGGCGCATAAGCTACGTGTAGACTCTATTGAAAATATGTATGTACACACGACGTCATTAATGCCTGCATCTCTGAAGTTGGCCGTATTCAGAGTTTATCTTTCTCCTTCTACTGCTTTCCACAAGAGAAAGATAAACTTTAAACGCAGCCAACTTTATATGGGTAGTCATTAAATGACGTCGTGTGTACATATTAAATGCGCTAAAGAATTGAAAAAGGTTTCGGAAGAGTGTAAAAGATGTACTATAGTATTTCCAAATCCGAATATGACATAAACACATGACATATATATATATATATATATATATATATATATATGAAAATTATGTAAGTTTTTATAATAGTTAAACATACGTAATATATATTATTATTTTCAGTATTTACTTAGACATTGATCAAATTTACATTATTAACTTTTTTTATTCTTTTCATTTCATCAGTTTTATTTTCTGTTGCAGTATGGAAAAGATAGTTCTAAAATAAGATGTAGGAAAAACAATATATCAAAGTGATAAGGTTGAGTCAAAATTCCAATTCTTTTAAATAAGTTATTTATGTCATAAAGTTAATTTTTGCCAACCCCTTAATCAATAAGTAAATTTTATAAAATAAATATTATAAAATAAAATGTCTGTAGTATTCACTCAATGTTACATATGAATGTTTCATTTAGATGCGCTTCATGTTAACAACGTATGAATTAATTCAATTGAAATAAAAAAAACTACTTTATTTATGTTTAAATATTACGTCTAATCAAATTGTTTTTATTTTTCTATTTGAATGTAGTAAACGTTTACTTTATTGATTTTGACTACTTTCAATTTTGAAAAAAATATAAAAGTCTCTTTCTATTTAATGTATGTATAAAAACACATGTTTAAAGGACACTGTAAAAATAGCGACTAAACATTAAAGTTAAAGTTTCTTGGAAAATCGAAAACTGGTCACATCAATGCAAATCATTAATTAGATTTTACACTCTTTAAGAAGCATCAAATTTAACACCTATTTAATATTTTAATATATACGATATCATGTATGAAAACTTTACTCATAAAATATTGATTTCTTTCTACAAAGTTAAAATTATATTGGCAGGATTATAAATGCATGTATTTTACATAATAAAGTACGTAAAAAAAATTTGGGACAATGCTTAATATATGATTAAGAATTAAAAATTGTTATCTCTAGTTGTTAGTGTAAATATTTAAGAAATATAAATAGAAATTTTGTATATTTTATATACATTTAAAGTGTCAATATTCCAATTAGATATATGTTGTCAAAATCATAAACTTATATGCACACATAGACTAATAATAAGCGCTTTCAAATTAAAAAAATACATATACATATACAAGAGAGAGAAAGAGAGAGAAAAAAAAGAGCATGTTAATTAAACTTTTGTTATAAGATATATGTACTTAAAATAATTGTATTTTTACCAAAAGTTAAAATTTATGTGCTTTAAATAACTATTCATTATTGTTAATGAACATACCTTCTAAGAGTAAATCATTTTTCAAAATATCTTCACATGTGTCGTTGAAGGAACGTAGAAAACTATTGAGATGTAGTCTATAAAAAATGAAAAGTACAACTTTGTTGTATATTACATCTATAAAAATATGGAAAACAGTAATAAAATGTATAATACAAAATGCAGAAAAGATAGATATTAATACAAATATTTTTAAATAAAAGTTGTTTTGCGATAAATTCATTAATTTCAACAATTGATCTAAAGGAAAATATAGAAAAACAAGAATCGTATATAACTAATAGCAAAAAAAAATGGCACAATAGTAACAATAAATAATTTTGAATAACATTGAATTTTGTGTAAATAAAGCGATTTACTTATATTAATCAACTCTTTTTTTTTTTAATTTTTTTGAATTTTTGATTCATTAAAAAAGTCAAAAAACGAGATAGTGTATATATGTACACACAGCAAGAATAAAATCTATATAAATATAATAAAAATTATGTTTTAAGATATTTAATATTTAATAATTTAATATATGTATAGCAGACAATACATCGTAAAAAATTTACTTTTTAAATTTAAGCAGGATTACAAGAAAAGTACATTTATGGAAAGTGATATGCCTGCTTATGATATTGTATTTGTTATTGAAAATAAAGTCAAAGTCTAATTAATATTTAATTATTTTTTAAAATGTAAATTTTATATATTATAAATTATAACGTAACATAATGTTTCACAAATTTATATCATGTAAAATATAATATTTTTATATTATTTACCTAATCTTCATATTTTTTATAAAATTATTTTTTCAAGATGCAATAATTTTTTTATTTCAATTGTGTAAAATTATCTATTTAATTTCTGTATAAGAAATTTTTTAACAAGCAACAAGCAAGAAGGAAAGAATAGAAAGAAAAATTTTGATGAAGCCAAAGGGGAAAAGTTATAAAATGTTTAAATATACGGAAATATTAGAAATGAAAAAATATAAATGCAAATTTAGTACATTTATAAAGATAAAAAATGTAAGGATGAGTGTGTTAAGAAATTGTCTATGTAAACTGTATTAAATGATAAGGATACATGATATAAAAATGTACAATATTATGATATAAAATAATTGTAAAATTACCAAATTATAAATAAATATAGAAACAAAAATATAAAAAACATCTTTTTTGACAAAAAATAATATAATAAATAATATATATATATTTATTTATTATAATATATATTACTTATTATATTATTTTTTGTCAAAAAAGACGTTTATATATATATATATATACTAACCTGCCCGTTGCAAAATATTTTTGAAGTTTCAGTATTTTATTGTCTCGGATTTTGCTTTTAATACTTGTATAATGCCCACTTATTTCAGTACTCTTTAAACGTTTAAGCTTCAGTTCCTCATCAATAATTAATTTTCGTAAGTTATCTATGAATAAAATAATTTTTACTTTGTTCATTTTGTATATTTTGTATAACATAAAAAAGTGTTATAGAAGCATTACCTAAAAAACTCCAAATGTTTTGGGATTTGCCGAATTTTCTTCCTACTATACTGTGAAAGCATTCTGTTATATTATTTGTCCTTGCAGGACAATCATAAACACTGACTTTTGAGGCTAATGGTAACCAAGTTTTGCGTACATATGCTAAAAAATCGTTAACTGCAGGGTATTCCTGAGAAATTTGATCCACTTCCAGTTGTATAAAAGAAAGCGCTTCTTCAAAACAATCAGAAGGAATCAATGCCATAGTCATGATCATCGATAAAACACTTTTTGGTGCATCCATTAATCCCAATCGTCGCCATTGACGCAAAAGTGCCTGGTAAGTGAACATTGATATATTTATGTATTTGAATGACTTTGATTTTTATATTAATTTTTATATAAAATGAAAACAAGATATAAATTATTATGTAAAATGATAATACTTGATTATAGTGAAACCAGCATCCATGTATTTCTGCTGTTGGAAATTGTTCATTTATCACCTTCATGGCTGCCATCTCATAATCGCTCATTATAAACTTTAAATTTTGTTGAAGCACTGGTGCTAACTCTATAATTCTGTTCCAAATAGCTCTGTACATATTACTGGAACGACTTTCGCACAGAATAAAGATCATAGCAATACCCTAAAAATATAATATATATATAAACAGTAGTAACCTTCATATTAAAATTAAACAATACATTTAAATATATAATGGTATAACAAATAATCTAATTTGTTAGTTTTAAGTTAATTTAAAATTTTAAAATTTTATTATTTTTAAGTAATTTAAAAAAGTAGACATTTAAAAAATATATAAATTTATTATAAAAAATAAAAAATGTTTTTTTATATAATATCCAATTTTATGGTGTATGTACATACATAAAATCATATTATCTTTTTAAATTATTTTAAAATTTGTATATGTTTCTTAAATGAGATCAATATTAAAATAATATATATATATATATATATATATATATATATATAGGGGGGAGTCCGGGAGACTTGACCATAGAGGAGAGTTGAACCACTTCAAATATCTCGTTCAAATTTTGAACAAAGAGCTCAATCCGAGCACGTTAAAACACGTTTGTCTCAATCACAGTCGAAACGCACTACCAATCGTCATGTTGTCACGTGCTCGGATTGAGCTCTTTGTTCAAAATTTGAACGAGATATTTGAAGCGGTTCAATTCTCCTCTATGGTTAAGTCTCCCAGACTTCCCCTATATATATTATACATATAAAATAATATATTTAAAAAAATAATTGAAAAATAAATTTTTATTATAACTTTTACAGATTCAATTTCAACAAACTGTAATTATGACATAATATGCAATGTTATTATATACCCTCATACTTACTACATTCATATGTCGGGTATGTATTGTATACATTTGACTCATCAATGGTACACGTGGAACAATCTAAAAAGTTAACATTGTTTTAAATATGTTTATATTTTTGATACATAAATATAATAGAAAAATGTAAAAATAGTATAATTTTAGAAGAAATGCGAACTTACATGAAATGTTCCATCCACATAAAGTTCTGTTGATTTTTGTAACTCTTGCAATAGCTCATTACTTGTAAATATTAATGCCTTTTTTCCATCGCTGCAAATGACGTGCCCTTTGTAAAATTGTTCAAGAGGTTCATACGTTGATAAAGTTCTAATAAAAGTCTCCATATCTCTTGGTAAACTTGGGCGAAGTTTTAATCTTTCACGATACAATGAATACTTTAACGTTCCGTATGACAATGTTGCAGCAGTTTCAGGATACCTGTGTTAAAAGCCATAAATATAAGCTACAACTAAGAATTACAGTTAAAAAATATATAAAATTTGAAATATACTTACTTTCTGCAGACACTATCAAATATTTCTTTCAAAGGTAAAGATGTATCTCTGCAAAGTTGCAACATTTCTTGTTTCATGGCAAATTGTTTTGCTTTCCATTGTACTTTAAGATGATTATGATCTTGAACTATATGTATTTTGCCATCCTTATCAATTTTAAGAGTGCCAGGACATTTTGTAGATCGACGAGTGTTACACCGTAGAATATTTGTATTTCGCGAATCTTTGTTGTAAGTGTAATCATCGTAAACATAAATAATGCTACCAGGTTTTTTTCCACATATTTCTTCCATCTGGAAAACAATAAATAAATAAATATATATCTTAATTTTTAAAAAATAATAAAAATGTAAAGAATGAAGTTAGATAAAGAATGAACCACTTCTTGCAAAATATATAAAATTTCACGATTATGTAAGTAAAATAGAAATACAGCATGAACATAATTATTATAATACAATAAAAATGCTATTATAACACACATATACGAAGCACCACAAAAGCAGCAGTTAAATAAAAAAATATGTAACGTAAAAATCGAGGAAAATATGCATACGTACGCACTTTTAAAAGTTTTTATTATGTTCTATTTCAATTATGAAATTTCATAATTGCTTATAGCGAATTCGACCAATCGAGTTCGCTATTAGAGACACAACACGAGCACATAATTACAACAAAAGGGCTATTACAACATGCGCATTTTAGGCAGATAACGAGCAGAGGTTAAATTAGTATAATGCACGTTTCAGTATACAACAAGCGGAAAATATTTTTCTTATCGTCGGTTACTTACGTCGAGATGTAGGCAGTCAAGGAATGCGTCCAATGTATGAAAAAATACGTTGCTACTTGTCGCAACGTCTTTCAGTATATTTCTCTTTAAATATACAGCTAGCTACTTGAACTTACACCACGAGCATTACAACAAAGGCGTTATTACAACAAAGGCATTATTACA